GTCGCAGATGCCGAATAGTTGAAAGTACTTTGCGTTTTGCCAGATTTGAATAATACGTTTGCGAAGGCCTCTGTGGTATTCAAACCGCAGAATGAAAATCTTGGCAGCGAGGGCGGGGCATAAGTCATGAAATCCTATTGTACTAGGTGGGATTGTAATACTGATTATCGCATAGCATAATGCTAAGACATTTCAGTCACGTAAGGGGGGGGGTTGGCAGATTTGCTGAATTTAGTTGATCAAATTGTGAAAAAACTCGCGGCGTCGGCGGGAGTCGAACCCGCACAGCAGGGAAGGTCTTTACGCGAAGCCAGGCTTTGCCGAGTTTTAGAGCAAAAATTAATACCTACAGAAGATTCTCTATCTCACAAAACGTGAAGCGATATTTCTGAAATTTGTTTTTGATTCTGATTGTGGTAAAGCCTAATCTCAAGAGTTTTCGCAGATTTTAATAATGCCTTTGACTCAGGGCTCCTAGTGGGGGGTTTGTAGGTCAGTTGGTTAGAGCGGTTCACAAATGGTTCAAATGGAGCAATATTAAAACCCCGCCTAAGTGATATCTTCTAACTGAAAAAGAGTATTTCAAAATGAGGGTTCAGCTTTCATGAGATAGACCACGTACTGCAGCTGTTATGCAAGCCACCAAAAATGAGTGAACCTAATTTGAGAGCGTGCTTATCCAAGGTAGTTGTTATACCAGACACCCGAAGAGGATGAAACACCACCTGCGGACAGAGGTGGCCGAAGGAATAGGAGACGAAAGGACTCAATCCGCTGTCGCTATCCTCACCGCCATTCCAGGATACCATATAGGTAAGAAAACTAGAGTTTGAAGTGTAAAATGAATTTATGCAGAAGTTGGGATGCTGATTCCCGAGAGTCAGTGACGTTTCGGCCTGCTACCTCAATCGTAAAACTTGGGGCGCACTGGACTGAAATCGACACATTAAGGATAGGAGATTCGACACGAGTGCAAGAACAACAAGCAGAGACAGCGCAGTGGTTGCTTACCTTATTTTCACAGTTGCAGAGGTTGGCATTCGACTCTGTGGCACCATAGAACTCCACGACCTGTGACACTCCGAAACGCTTCATAAAGTCTTCCCAGACCTCCTTCCGCAGACCATTCCCAGTGGCCAGACGGACTTTGTGTTCCTTCTCCTCCTTCCGCACGGGTTGGTGGAGAAGGTAACGGCAGGTCTCACCCACGTATTGCACAGCCTTGACACCACAGGAGGGGTAAAAAGCAGATGATACGTAAGGAAAACGTCAAGTAATGACAGCGTACGCGCAGGGAAAAAAAGACCATTTGAAGGCAACGGATGATGTCTTTAAATATCAAGGGAATGCTTCCGGTTTGTGAACTTTGGGATCGCGAAGATCTACGGATTACCCAAAGTTCACAAACCGGAAGTTCCTCTAC